TTTTTTTTTGTTTTTGTTTTTAATATCATATTTGTTTTTTGTTTTTGATATATGCATATATGTCTGCATGTCATAAAAATTAAATTTTGATTGTTGTTTGTTATTTTGCAGTTGTGATTATTAAAGACTACTCAACACCAGTTGCTTGTTAAAAATGAATTTGTATTATCCTTTATTGCACACAAAGATCCGACTTGCCACGCAATTGTATTTGTGATATAAATGATCATTAGAAGTTATTCATATATTTTTTTTGATTGTTATCTTCATGTGTTTTATATTATCACTTTATTTATATTTATCTAAACTTATCATCTGGGGAATTTTTTTTTTTTTACTTGATTATTCCTTTTTTATGTTGTAAAATGCCATGACATTTGGGTCAATGTCAGTCATGAATCTTATCCTGAAACAATATAAAGAAATTAAAAAAAGAAATGCAGTCTTAATTTGAGTATTTTTTTTTCTTTAAGCAAAAATGTAAGAATCATCATGAATTTTAATTTGTTAGCATTTTTAAGAAAAAAGAAACTATCCAAATATTTCAGTGTCCAATCTACCTATTTTTAATATAAGGAATGTTGAAATGTACAAGAAATATATGAAAAAATGTACTTTTTACAAAGCAAAAATGACCTTGTGCCCTCCAGAACTTCATCAGGTGTTTGTCAACCCAGAATTTCAAACTGAACCCTTTATTTAATTTCTGAGAGTAGATTGTTCTCATTTCACTGCCCATTTCAAGGATATATTGTCTAGTTCTTATTTAGTTCCTGCTCGTCTAAATATACTGCTCAGCTCAGGGATTGAACTCACAATTACTACAGTGCTTCATGAAAGATTGTGACCCCACCACCATAAACTTGGCCATTGTTTTTTTTTTAAAAAATTAAAATAAACCAAATAAATGTGCATCCAAACATTTATTCGTAAAGTAGAATGTATTTCACTAAAACTGAAAACGTATGTGCTCCCTTTCACTCTCCAAAAAACAGACTTTTTTATTGGCGAAGTCAAGTAGGTATTAAATTCAGCTGAAACACATTTGGGTGTTTAATTATAACCATGTTGGGAGAGGCTCACAAACGTTCAAATGGTATTGTATGTCACAAAATTCAGATCCATCAAATCCACTAGGCTATTGTTTGCTATTGTCAGCAGTGATGGCAAACATTCATGGAATTCTTTGAGGAAATGTTTTTAGGAATGGCACCGTTGAAGCTGACAGTGTGGCTTAGATATGTTGATGACACCTTCATACTCTGGCTTCACCAGGAATTTACACAAATACTTCTGGATATGTGACCTCAGTATGACTGTTGATTCATTTTGCAATGAAAGAAGAAAATAATAATCAGCTATCCTTCCTGGATGTGCTAATAACTCCCACAGAGAATGGGTTGAATACTTCTGTATATCACAAAACAACTGTGACAATGTAACCTGTGGTGAATGATGATTTAAACTTGTCATTTTCTCTTTTCTGGTACAGGGCAACATATACAACAAAGTGAGTGTGGATCGAGGAGGGTTTTTGTTATTTTGCCACTTATTTATCCTTGTTAACAGCAACTAAACATGATGATTTAAACAATGCTCAAGTGGGGTATACTTGAGAACTTGATAAATGGGATCAGATACTGGTCACAGCAACATGTGGCATTGTGTGGTAGGGAGGATGCTAATCATATGAATCATAGTTGTTGTTGACAGTGATCATCACAGTTGGACTTAATTGATTTGGATTGACTTCTAGAGAATTCTTAGGTGAATTCTTCTGGCATGTTCTCTTGTCATGTAGTAGCAAGAAATAAACTGCATAATATTTTTCTATATAAAATCAATAGATTCATTACAGAGTTATAAACAAGCTTTGATATTACAAAGGACAACATTCCTGTCTCTGGCTCAATGGATGTCATGACCCACCCTGATATCTGGCAATCAGATTTTTGTTAGAACTTCAGTTCTGCCTGAAATTCATTTTTCTTCCCCTAAAAAAAACACGGAAGGTGACATTTCATCACCAGCCAACTGGTGGAGGCAGCAAATAGAAGACTGCCAATTGGAGATCATCTCATTTCCCCCACTAAATTGAAGAAGTATATGAAGGCAGACAAAAGAATTTTGCAGATTTTTTTTACTACACAATGATCTCCAACTGAATCTTTCAGGAGAATTGTATACAATTTTCAATCATTTTTTTAAAATTAAAAATAAGGTCATGTATTAAAAAGATGATACTTAATAAATTACTTTTATTTGCTTTTAAAAATTTATGTTTTAAAAATGATCGTTAATTACTTTTTTAATTTTTCTTTATCTTTTTAAAAAGATGACAAAGAAATTCCATTGTTTGCATGTTTTTGAGTTGGCAGTGATGAGTTGTCCTGCACTCAACTAACTCTCCTCTGAGTGATCAACCAATCAAATAAAGCCTGTTGTTAATGACTATCCCATTTTTTGCCTGTTCATAACTTGCAAACATTCTAATATAAACAATTCTTTGACCTTTTCAATTCAACCTAACTAGCACTTGGAGAGCCCATCATAAGTGATTTAAATAAAAAAAAAAACAATAGCTCTCTATTTATTTTAATGTACATTTTCTCTTCTAAGTATTTGTAAAATCTTACCTCTTTTGTTATTTTCAATTAATGAATCTTAATTAGAACCAAATTCTACCACCGCTTAAGCTTTTGAATAGGAACTGATGTTTATCTCTTGTTTTTAGTTCCTTCTAGAATCTTTTTCATTCTTCGCAGTAGCTCCTTGAATATTAATGGTATTATTGCCTTGCATGGCATGAAATAAAAAAAATATATATCAGAGCACTCATCACAAAACTGGTGAATTTCTGGTAATAATCAACTTTATTACCAAATTTTTCAATATACTTCTAATCAAACCCATCTTCTGGTAATAAAATATTTTTAGCTGACCTAAAATTAATAATTCCAAATTTACATACCCTTTGTTTTTACAAATGTATTACACAAAAGTGTTCGATAAAGTATGTTACAAAGATCTGTTAGAGCTGCTCAGCAATCTTGACATATTCGGGAAAGACATTAGAATAATCAAAAACCTATACTGGCAGCAAACCACCTGCATATGGATAAAAATGAGTTCAGCAAGATATACAAAAACAGAAAAGGATATAAGGCAAGGATATGTCTTGTCACTGGACTTATTCAGCCTATACAGCAAGGCAATTCTGAGAGGACTGGAAATCCTACCAGGAGTCATCATTGGCAGCCACAATCTTAACATAAGATATGCAGATGACACTGCTGATAGCAGATACAGAAAGGAAACTACAAAACTTCCTACAGGTGGTAGCAAAGGAGAGCAAGAAGAAAGGACTAAACATAAACTATAAGGAGACTGCATAGTCATCAGTAAAAAGATGATTCAAAAATGCAATTTACTGCTCGGGGTCACTAAAGCAGGTACAGAAATTTAAATATCTGGGAAACATTCTGGCAGGATGGAGAGTGCAACACTGAGATCTGAAGATGTATTGGGATGGCCAAAGATGTATTCCAAAAGCTAAGCAATCTATTAAGAGACAGAAAAAATTTGTTAGAAACAAAGAGAAGAGTACTAAACTGTTATGTGATATCTGTCCTGTATGATCAGTGAATGCTGGACAATCTTCTCAAAGATAGAGGAGAGATCTGAAGCAACAGAAATTTCTTTCTACAGAAGGATGCTGAGGATACCATGGACCGAACATATGAGCAATGACAAGGTTTTGGAGAAAATGGAAGCAAAAAGAAAACTTATACTTAACATCAAGAAGAGGCAGATGAAATTTTTAGGGCATGTAATGAGGAAGGAGGGCTTGGAAAACCTGATACACACAAGGCAAATTGAGAGAAAGAGAGGAAAGCAGCACATAACATACTTGAGTAAATGGATATTCAAACAGGGTTTTGGAGAGATAAAAAGACAAAACTTATTAGGAGCTACAAGAGACAGGAAGATGTGGAGGGTAATGATCGCCTACTTCCTGAAGGAAGAAGATTGTTATTTTTTGTTTTTAATTTGTAGTCATTTCAACAAAGCTTTTTTCCAAGCTTAACTTTTAGAAACACTAGAAAAAAATTTCTATAATAATACTTTTTTTTTTTTGCATTTTTTTCTTCTTCTCCCATCCTCTGATTTCCTCCCCTGTCATAAAGAGAAATCAGAAGGGGTGGGGGGTGTTTTTGTTGCTTAATACAAAGACGAGGCACACTGTAACCTGCTGATGACTGACTCTGTCAATTCAATCATAAGCAATGTCTAACTCAAAACAATTCTGTTACTATGACTTGCAATCCTGATGTTGACATATATAATTCCCCTCATACAGACAAAACAGCAGGGGTGGGTTTAATCCAAATAGAAGACACGTTGTAACCCGTTGATAACCGTCTCTTTCAATTCAATCATTAGCAATGTCTAACTCAAAACAATTCTGCTATTATGTCTTGCAACGACGATGTTGACATAACTCCAACAGATCACGCACAAGATGCAGTGAGTCTTTCTGTCTTCTTTTAGGGATTTTCTTTTTCTCTGACTCTGAACAGCGAATGCTGAACAATCTTCTCAAAGATGAAGAAGAGACTCAAAGCAACAGAAATGTGATTCTGCAGAAGGATGCTAAGGATACAATGGAACGAACATGTGAGCAGCCACAAGATTTTCGAGAGAATGGTAACAAACAGGAAACTTATGCTTAACATCCGGAAGAGGCAGTTGATATTTCTGGGATACGTAATGAGGAAGGAGGACTTGGAAAATCTGATACACACAGGACGGATAGAAGGACAGAGGAAAGCAATGCGTGACATGTGCTTGAGCTCGTGGTGCGAGAACAGGGAGAAATAATAATAATACAAAACTTATTAAGCGTTACAAGGGACAGGAGGATGTGGAGGGTAATGATCGCCTACGTCCTGAAGTGACAAGGTATGTAAAAGAAAAAAAAAATCAATATCCCCAAGGGTTACAGCTACATCAATGTTGAAACATCGGATCTCGTACGATCACCGAAGTTAAGCAACATCAAGACAGGTCAGTATCTAGGTGGGTGACTGTTTGGGAATACCAGGTGCTGTAAGCATGGATGCGCGGGTGGTGTAATAGATAATGACTCGGAAATTTTAATCTTAGAGCTGACTTTCTATTCCCATTGGGTTCGTTATATTCACTTACGTACAAATGCTCTTGGGTAAGGCATGAATCGACATTCCAACTATGGGTTAATTAGTAAAACTTGTATCTTTCAATCTGTACCGGTTAAAAGGTTTCTTAAGCTGCAGAAAACCAACGAAATATTTAATCACTATTCCCATAATCGTAATTCATCAGTCATTATGACAATACTTTTTCTCTAATCAACCAAGTAAAAGTTTTGAATCATACAAATAATTTTAGCTAAAATTTAGGAAATAAAAGAATAATGCCTTTTCCCATGACGCTAAGAGTAAAGGAAACGGAAATATGATTATCCCCACTTGGCTTTGTCAAAGGCCGTTAGATGGCGCTGGTTAAGTCTATAAAAAGACAATCATTTTCCTACCTCACTCTCATCCTTGCTCTCAGGAAATAGATGAACGTGGAAAAAGTACGGATCCTCTTCGGCATGTTTGTTTCCCAGGTCCACTGATGATTGAAATCTCTTTCCACTTTCAAATGAAGGTTGACTTCCAATTTCCAATATATATAGAATTAATTTTATCTATCTACCTATAAAACCCTTAATACTCACCACAAAATCAGGAATGAATAATAGGATTCCACCTATTCTATTATAAATGAGCTTGCCCATCCCTTCCTCATTTCGCACGACTGTTACATCTTTTCAGTGCCTCCTAAATAATGGAAGCTATATAAACAACATTATGTCTCTCATTCAAACGCATACCTGTTTATGTCTTTCGGTTCGAGGTTCCATCTTTCTTCATCTTTTAACCCGATAACTTCAATTGGGATTTCTCAGAATTAGTCCTCGGCCTTGCAGATTAAGATTAAGAAAGTTAAGATATCCGCTGTCTGATGAGAATTTGGTATCATATCTTTATACATGTCCTTATCCACCGAATACATGTCCTTATCCAGTAAAAAGGAATTTTTAGATGAGTTGGATGAAGTAATTATTAGCAGATTCTAGCAATGATCTAGTGAACACAAACGATGGCTCTTAATATAATGGACTGCATGCAATGCTCTGTTGTATTTTTGGACTATCAGTTAAAGCGTACATTTCTTTTTCTCAGCATCCTTCTGTAGAACCATATTTCTGTTGCTTTCTTTTGTAGCTTATAATAAATTTTGTCTTTTTGTTATCTTTCCTAAAAACTGTCTGTCATCCATTTACTCGCGTTGTATCCTTATTCCCATCCTGCCTTCAGTCTGTCTCGTGAGTATCAAATTTTCCAAGCCCTCTTTCCACATTATGTGCCCTAAACATTTCAGCCGTTTCTTTTGGATGTGAAGTATAAGGGTCCTTTTTGTTTCCATTTTCTTTAAAACTTCATCGTTATTTATATATATTCGGTCCATGGTCTCCTCAGCATCCTTCTGTAGAACCACATTTCTGTTGTTTCAAGTCTTTTGTTCATCTGTAAGGAGATTGCTCAGCATTCATTGCCATATAGAAGGACAGACAGTACGATATTCAGTATTTGTTTGCGAAATTAACGATTTACAAAAAGCGTTTTTTTTTTCATTTTTTCTAATGTTTACCCTATTTAAGGCCCAATAGTCACTCAAGGTAGATGGTTATTAAAAAGAGATTGTTGTGTGAGTAGTAAGAATAAAGGGGGCAGTTTATGTGGATGTGTGGGAAAGATAATCTTTAACTCTTGACTTGAAGAGATTAAGATTATAGTGACCGGGAAAGCATTCTCCCGGGATTCTTTTCCACAAAGCAATGGGTCTTAGGAACAAGCTGAGTGGAACTTACTCCCTACTAATGGAATAAAAAGGGAATGAGGGTGGTTCTTTGTTTCCTAGGAGGATTAGAGTTGGGGCAACTGGGCAATATCGCTTGTCTGACATTTTCCTCCGAAATAGCGATGCAATGGCCAGAGACTTGCAACGTTTCGTCTGTGGGAAAGGGATTTTAAAGCTGAAAGCAATTCATCACCCACAAGGCCGCGTAGACGATTTTGGGCTTTCCAGAAAAAGTAGAAAGTGAAGACGAGGCAGCTCCAGCCGTACTCCATTTTCTGTCTATTCTGGCTCTTATAAATACAGAGCATGATAGGAGTCGGGTACTTACTGGAGCGGTACAAGGAATCGACCATTTTCCTAGCACTTTTAGTGATGGATCGGATATACGTGTTCCACTTGTGGTTTGGGGTGGGCTTGAGTCATAATGAACATTCAAGGCCCGGGGCGAGAATACCCATACATTGCAATAGACGGAAATTCAGGGGCTGCTCTATAAGAAACTTGCATAATAATAAATATTATCAAACTTGTAATATTTCACGATACTTCTTTCATATAAGTATCAGCAACTTATTTTCACACCTTGGACCTTTCACGATAACTAACAGGTGATTTACAACAAATGTCGTACAAAGACTGGACTATGAACAAGGAGCTTGCTGAACTCTACACTTTGTATGCAAATAGAAAATGATAATTGATAAATGGTGTTTATCACTTCTTTCCTTTTTTATTTTAATTTAATTCATTTTCTTATTTATACGAGTTATTTCTTTAGTCTTTTCATTTAACACTTTCGCTGTTAACGCGCTTATACGTCTTTACAAATCTTATGTTGACTGCTATTTACGTATATATACGTTTACTAGCCACTGTGTAGTGCCAGTACTTAGCGTTTTACTGCTACACTAGCGCTTAGCGTTATTTCCAAAGCAGCGTAGACCAGAGATTCTCATTTTTTTTTTTAATTCAGGACGCACTTATAAACTCTGTTGTGTACTTTAAATTTTAATAAGGTAAAATTAGTCATGAAATTTGAAAGTAATAAAACAATGAAGAAGTCTCCTGAATTAAGCAATTGTTTTTAAGACATTTCGTTGTATGGATAAATATGCTCGTTTGAAACAAGTATTTGACAATTTTTTGAATATGTTAGGCCTTATACATGAAGATTAGCAGTACAGTTTTCATTTAAAGGGATTTATGAAGAATCTGTTATTTTATTTAGAGAGGCCGATAACGTCTGATTTAAATCCTTTGAGGAAGGCAAAAGGGAAAAGATTATCCACTCTTTCTTAAAGATTAAGGAATTTAGCATCGATTTTCAAATATCAAATGACAAAGACTTGACTTAGGCATGGAAGCAATATGATTGATGTCTTTAGCTTTTTTAAGAATAAGGATTTTTAAAAAATATAAGACCAATTCATGAATTACTCTTCTATTAACTTGGGTGGGGGTACTCCTGACTACCGGGGCTCACCGGTTGAAAATTACTGGTGTGTATGTATATATATATATATATATATATATATATATATATATATATATATATATATATATATATATATATATATATATATAGTAGCATATAATACGATTTGTTTTCTGGCGTATTTTTAAAATTATATTGTCTGTTGGGGTTGGCACTCTGGATTGGTGTAATGGCGAGCAAGATTGTCTCGCTAGGTCAATTAAGACTGAGTAGTGAGTTCGTTCCTTACTGGGTACCCCATACTTACGGTCTTGTACCACAACTAAGCTACGCTTATTAAATCAATATATTGTGTGTTGGGCGTGGTTTAGCTTAGTCTGTACAGCGGAATGCGCCATCGAAGCAAAAAATGGCGGCGCCTATGACGAATTGCTGTTAATGATTTTTATAGTCATTTATGTTCAATAAACGGCAATTTGGCATTTTTCTAAGACAGACTAACAAGGCAATAATGATTCAGCACAGTGATTCTCATCCGACGTGCTGCGGCACACTAGTGTGCCGCGCGATTATCTTAAGTGTGCCGCAAAATATTGTCACGGCTTACATATATATGTGTGTGCGTGGAAGTAGTTATGGCACACCGTTAGTATTTTAATAAATAAATAAGTATTGAATTTTTCAAATAATTACTTTCCTTGTTCTTCGATTATTTTAAATACTTTGTTTTAATACTCATTTTTTAAAAGTATTTTTATTTTTTAATTTTAGTTTTTAACTTTTTTTTTGTTTGAATAAAAGAAAACCTATTTTCATACAATTGTATTCAACATCCTTTGTTTAATTAAAAAAATGTATAAATGTTCCTTCCATTACTGGACTTCAGTTGTGTGAAGAAGACCAAATGGCCATGATTTCTAGTTATCAAGGTCTCAAAATAAAACCTTCGACTCTATCCATTTAATACCTTTTAGGTTTCAATCCAAAAGGAATATCCTTCATTAACTAAAAGGGTTTTATCAGTTTTATTGCAATTTTTCTACTTCTTATTTATATGAATTACACTTCTCAACCCTAAATAACATCAAAAATAAGAAGCGAGAATGACTACACTCAACTGCAGAACGAATTAGCCTCTGCTTATTGCACATTCGACGAAACATTGAAGAAATTGCGAAAAGAAAAAAAAATGACACAGGTTTCACACTAAATAAGCTGCATAAATATTTGAATAGAAACATTGAAATAAAGTAAGTTCATATTTGTGTGTGTATTTTTAAAAAAAATCTATGGTTTTATTTCATAACATTTAAATGTCTACCCTTTAACAATTTTTCAAAGTGCGCTGTGATATTTTTATTTGTTCCTAGGTGTGCTGTTGCTTAAAAAGGTTGAGAAACTCTGGCCTAGCAATACTGCATTGAAAGTGTCTTTTTCGGTGGCTTTTTCTGGCTTTCTTTAGCTTAGCGCAATACAAAGTTAAATGTCCAAGGAATGTGGGTAGAGAGAATATGTTTCGCTTTTCTTTCAAGTAGGGAAGAAAACCACTTGAAATCCCAGGCCGTAAGTGAAGGTTGACTAGTTAGAATCGAACCCGTCACAACACTTTTGAATTGCGGCCTAATGTTCTAACCAAAACTTTCCAGCGAGTTGTTCATTTTCTTTGCTCTCGCCTTCGTAATTGTGCTATTTCAATTTTCCTTTTCCTCTCTTCTTTACAATATTCTC